TTCACAAAGATCTGTCTCAGAAGAGAAGGGGATGCTTCAGAACCGCTTACTGGGCCAAAGATCACTGTTTTAGCCACAGACAGAACCAAGAAGGAAGCAAAACATAAAGAATTAGAGAAAAATCATAAATAAAAATAAATTCTAATTATAATAACAAACAATAGTTTTACATCTAACGATCATATTTTGTTCTTTTTCTGTTTTCTTCATTCAGCAACCAATTAAATTACTGTTTTATGTTTTATATCAATAACCAAGTTTATTTATTTATGACGAATCTACTTTTTTTCCAGTCAGTGTTTAATACAGCTGCAAAATCAATTGTGAAAATATTTATGATGTGCTTCTTTTTTATTTTAGCATATTATTTAAAAAAGTCCATTTTATGAAAAGACCCTCGATTCAGTAGAAAACTCTGGTTTTTAAGAAAAATGGTTGCTTATCAATTAATTTTTAGTCAATCTATAACAGGGGTTCTCAAAGTTTTTGTGTCGGGACCCCTTACAAGGGCAAAAAAAACAAATCCACGGACCCCCTCATAAACCCCATGTTATTTTAAAAGATAATTTATTGTCATTTCAACCCTTAAATACCATGGGAATATACAGTATATGTTTATTTAGTTTATTATGTTTGTTTTATTGGTTCATTGTTCTTCATGCATTTTTAAAAATAAAAACCAAATTAACAATTTAGTGAAATTTTTTGAGGACCCCCAAGATACTTCTCACTGACCCCTGGGGGTCCTGGGACCCAAGTTTGAGAACCTCTGATCTATAAGATAAATCAACTTCAGAGAACTTCACATTAATCCATAACTTGCATCCCTAATTTATACAGCAATTAAATTAATTTATATCTACTTATATTTATGTAATTTACGTGTTTTAATGATGTGGCAGATTAATCAAAAAGTAATTAATCTATTATTAAAATAATCGTTAGTTGCAGCCCTAATATAATATGATCTTCAGTATAATGCAATCCCCATGTTTGAGCTTAAACATCATAATGCCAGCCCTGATTTCATACAGACTTGAGGATTTTTCAGCCTTTGCGGTGCACCTACTCTGGTGGGGAAACAGATTTTTGTGGGGGGGGTGGGCACCTGTGGGTGTTTGGCTGTGGAGCATAAACACAGCAGATTAACACAACTTTAGATCGTGCATTGTATAGTTTTCTTTGTGCTGTTTGTATTGTAGGCTTTTTAAAAATGTGCCTCAGAAGCCCAACGGCTCGTTCTTTAAATCTAAACTAGGAGTATTTAATTAATAAATAACAAAAATATTAGCTTTACTAACATCTAAACCACTACACAAATCTGAGTTTATCTAATTATTAAAAGCTAAATAAATACAGAACTGAAGCAGAAGCTTAAAAAATAAAGTTTCTGTTTTTGCCTGTGAGCTGAAACCATGAATCTGAGCTTCTGGTTTCTACATAAGAAGAGAAACATTATAATTTTGTATTAATTTTGAATGCCTTTTTGACAACATTGATAACATATTGTAAAAAACAAGTTTCACACCACTGAGATGAACAGTTGAGAGATTCGCATGTTAACAGGAAGTGATGTCAAAGGGGAACGTCTGTATTTAAACAAAGCATTTAGATGGCCGACGACACAAACGAGAAGAATCTGATGTTTCTTTAGATTATTTTGAGTCTCTATCAGAGGTGAAGTAGAGTTAAGAGTTCAAATAATTTTTTAATAAAGACCAGAGAGCTTCTTTTCTGAAAGAGCTCCCCTTTGATGTCACTTCCTGTTTCACTTTGGCTGAGCCAAATGTAAAAGAAAATCTGCCAGTTTATGTAGCTAAATGGGTAAAATCACGTCATGCCAAGTTTCTTAAATATAAAGATGTTTTCTTTGACTTGTTGTATTTGAAGGATATGCGTGTTGCAGGCACTTTAAAAGTTTTAAAAAAATGCTAAACTGCTCAACAAAATGTTAGTTGCACTATTAGCGAAGTTAGCAGATGAGCTGAACTTCGTCCTCCACTAATTATTTAACACCATTAAGCCATCCCAGCTGGATGAGGCTCATTTTCTTTATTTTTGTACTGGTGTGTTAAAAAACCCAGCTGTGAACATTTTGAGAGCGTTAAACTGCATCCAGTCACTTTTCTTCAAGTTAGTTTTTTATTTCTCTGACTTTCCGCAGCCTCAGAACATCACTGTTCAAAGCTGCTTTGATGTCAGTAACACGTCGTTTTATCAGGAAACTGCAGCAGCTTGTTCTGTGTTCCCACAGCGACTCTAGATGGAGGTGTGGGGCTCCTCCTCCCCATGACGGAGAAAACCTACCGCCGGCTGCTGATGCTGCAGAATGCTCTGAACACGTTGCTGCAGCACCACGCCGGGCTCAACCCCAAAGCCTTCAGGTTGGATTTCTGTCCACTTTGACTTTAAGGAACCAGACTGAGACCGGACATCATGTCTGACCTGTCCCTCCTCCAGGATGATGCACTGCGACAGACGATGTCTGCAGAACGCCGTGAGGAGCATCCTGGATGGAGAACTGCTCAACAAGTATTTGTACCTCAGCTCCATGGAGCGCAGCGAGCTGGCCAAGAAGATCGGCACCACGCAGGAGATCGTGAGTTCCCTGTTCTCCTCCTCTCTGCTCCCCGTTCTCCTCCTCTCTGCTCCTCNTTCTCCTCCTCTCTGCTCCTTGTTCTCTCCTCCTCTCTGCTCCCCGTTCTCCTCCTCTCTGCTCCCCGTTCTCCTCCTCTCTGCTCCCCGTTCTCCTCCTCTCTGCTCCTCATTCTCCTCTGCTCCTCGCTCCTCCTCTCTGCTCCTCCTCTCTGCTCCTCGTTCTCCTCCTCTCCTCGTTCTCCTCCTATCTGCTCCCCGTTCTCCTCTGCTCCCCGTACTCCTCTGCTCCCCGTTCTCCTCTGCTCCTCGTTCTCCTCTGCTCCTCGCTCTCCTCTGCTCCTCGCTCTCCTCTGCTCCTCATTCTCCTCCTCTCTGCTCCCCGTTCTCCTCCTCTCTGCTCCTCGTTCTCCTCTGCTCCTCGCTCTCCTCCTCTCTGCTCCCCGTTCTCCTCCTCTCTGCTCCCCGCTCTCCTCCTCTCTGCTCCCCGTTCTCCTCCTCTCTGCTCCCCGTTCTCCTCCTCTCTGCTCCCCGTTCTCCTCTGCTCCTCGCTCTCCTCCTCTCTGCTCCCCGTTCTCCTCCTCTCCTCGTTCTCCTCCTCTCTGCTCCTCGTTCTCCTCTGCTCCCCGTTCTCATCCTCTCTGCTTCTCGTTCTCCTCCTCATTCTCCTCCTCTCTGTTCCTTGTTTTCTGCTCCTTGTTCTCCTCTCTGCTCCTTCTCTCCTCCTCTCTGCTCATGTCCTCTGCTCCTCGTTCTCCTCCTCTCTGCTCTTCATGTCCTCCTCCTCTCTGCTCCTCGTTCTCCTCCTCTCTGCTCCTCGTTCTCCTCCTCTCTGCTCATCATGTCCTCCTCTCTGCTCATCATGTCCTCCTCTCTGCTCATCATGTCCTCCTCCTCTCTGCTCATCATGTCCTCCTCCTCTCTGCTCATCATGTCCTCCTCCTCTCTGCTCATCATGTCCTCTCTGCTCATCATGTCCTCCTCTCTGCTCCTTGTTCTCCTCCTCTCTGCTCATCATGTCCTCCTCCTCTCTGCTCCTCGTTCTCCTCCTCTCTGCTCCTCGTTCTCCTCCTCTCTGCTCATCATGTCCTCCTCTCTGCTCATCATGTCCTCCTCCTCTCTGCTCATCATGTCCTCCTCCTCTCTGCTCCTCGTTCTCCTCCTCTCTGCTCATCATGTCCTCCTCCACAGATCCTGGACGATCTTCTGGACATCGACAGAGTAACGGCTCATTTCTGAGTCTCGTCTCTTTGCTGTTTCCTCGTCAGTGAAGTTTTGATTCCATGTTTCTGAAATCCTTGTTTCATAAAACAACTCATCTCCTTTTTTCTAGAATTGTTTTTGTATAAAAAACTGAAACCAGTTTTGTTTCTGAGTTGTGATTTCTTCTCAGTGAACTAAGAAAGTTTGAGGAACCGAAGATAAAGTCCAACATTTTTGGGTGCAGAACAAAACAACAACTGAGAATTACTTTTGATTTTATTTGATTCTTTTTACACCAACATTTCAAATTCAGTGTGAAGCAGAAAACACAGTCAACACAAGAAATGTCCTTTTTGTGGTTGTGTTCAGTTCAAGTTTATTTATTTCCACTTTCTTACCAACTTTAAACCAGAAATTTAAACAAGTTATAGCTGTTCTGTTCTGACCTTTTATAACCAGACAAATATTAAACCTTACATTTGTATTAATATTGACTAAGTTCCTGTGTGATCAGCAGGGGGCGCCACCGAGCGTTTAAAGCCTCTGAGTATGTCCTGAACAGAAGTGGTGTGTCATGGTGCTTTACAGTCCCGTGGTTCTGTTTGAGCAGAACCAGCAGAGTTTGGACCGGCCTGGTGTTGCGCTGCGTTCACTTGTGCGTGGAACGGCTCCTTTCTCCACAGCGTTGCGTTCAGGTACTATCTGAGGTAATCGTACAAGTCGGCGTCCAGCTTCATGAGACCCAAAACCTCCATCAGCTTCAGGAATTTACGCGTCAGGTTCATGACGAGCATCTCTGACCTGTGGGAGGAGCTAAAGATTTAGAGCTGAAGCCTCTTACATCAGTCTTACTGATGCAAACTTTGAGCCAAAGTTAGAAACAGAGACGTGAATATGATGTTTCTGAACAAGAACAAACTGATTTTACGTGTAATTTGATTTATTTTACTGGAAACTAAAATCAAGGTCCTCCAAACAGAGGATTCAGAAAGTATTCAGAACTTCCTCGGTGTTTTCACAGGGTATTTTCTCAATAAGTTCAGTAAAATGTCAAAACAAAAATGTGTACATTTAATTTTATTAAAATAACAGAAGTACTACTGCAGTTAGACCCTCGTTCCTGAGGGCGAAGCATTATTAGCAACAGTTCCAGCTTCTAATCTTTTTAGGTTTAACAATAAAACTTGGAATAAATTGTTGGATTTAAGGATTTTCTGACAAAACACTAGCTAAAAGTTACAAAACATGAGCTGAAAGTAGCCAAATGCTGGCTAAAAGTAGGAATATACTTGCTAAAAACAGCAAAATGCTGGTGAAAAGTGGCAAAACACTAAGAAAACGCTAGTCCTCAAAGTCTGGTTAAATATTTGATACTGATATTTCATTGGTATTTTGTTGTTTTTATTTTGAATAAATGCACCAAATTTGATGAATCTGTTTTCCCTTTTTTAAAAGGGTTCTGATTGTAGTTTAAGTGGAGAAGAAACTGATTTAAATGATTGTAGAATCTGGCTGTAATATAAAAAAAAATGTGAAGGTCGTCTGAATCATTCCTGAAGCCACCGTTTGACTGAAATACTTTTTTGTTTTTACTTTTTCAATACATGTTAACAAGAGTCTAATGCATACCTTAAGATATACATATTTGCACAAACATATATTAAAGGGGCAATATTATGTGTTTCTCAGGCATACATTTAAATACTATACCATAATAAAGTATCTATGTCATCTTTATTTTTTAAAATTCTGTTTCTGTTAAAACAGAAAATAAACGTATTTTCTCATCACTTCCTCTTCTAAACGCCTTAAAATTGGCCTCTGTCTCTTTAAGAACCACCTTCCGCTTCTGTCATGAGGAAGTTTGGCTTAAAGACGCATCCTAGAGGCATTTCTGGTCCCTGCATGTCGTTTTCCCTGCGTAGCTGCGGGGCGGCCACCCTATTCTTTTGCATTGGGGACTTACTGCGCATGTCCAAAATCTTGCAATGACTTGCCTTTGGGAATCAGGAGCGGCGATCGTGACCCGGAAGTGACTCAACACGAAAAATCTCATGAGTAAAATGGAAGTTTTACACATCAATAACTCTAAATTATTTATTTTACTTTTCAGAAAACATATATATGATATTTTTTCAAAACATTTATGACCTTTCTTTTGTTATTTTTATTATTTTTTTTATTTTTTTGTGTATCAAAAATATTGGTGGGGCGGCGCACTAGTACCCTCATTGACCAGCCGCCACTGACTGAACCTAAAGCACTGTACTGAACGGTTTGATACAGATACTGTACATGTATTGTTGCACCCCTACACCCGAAATGTTTTATATTTCTATCAGAATTTACCAAAAGAACATCAACATTATCAAATGAAAACTTCACTTTTAGAAGGGATTAACAATTTTGTCTCAAAGTTTCCTGGTTTGAAAATGTTCACCTTAAAGCCACTTCAAACTTCCAGCTCTCCCATGTGGTCTTCCACCAGCTGAAGATCCTCAGTCTGGGTAAGAGTCCCGTCTTCTCAGCCTGGATCTTCCCCCAGCCACGAACAGCACTTAAAAAAAACAACAACAAAAAATATAGCAAATTTATATGACACTAAGAAACTTTAAAACCCTTGTTGGTCCAACTTTCTAGTTTTGGTTGTAATATTAAAGAGCATCTGCTGTTGAACAAAAGAGAAAAGTTTAAGCATGAATAAGACACCTCCATCCATCCATCATCTACACCTTCATTTCTATCCAGCAGTCAGTGTGAGGGGCGGGGTACACTCTGGACAGGTCACAAGTTCATCACAGATTCTAAGAGGATCAGTCTGCCTTTCCCAAAATCACCAAAAAGGTTAGACCATGGTTTAATTACTGCTTTCCCTGTGTTGTTTTATCGCACCATGCGCTCACATTCCAAAACAAAAGTGTCTCTCTCTCTGGGAGGAAGTTTGCACGAGTAACGTCTTTCCTGTCAACCAATCCCAGAGCTAATCCACGCGCAGAACTCTGCTCACATCAACATCATAAGCGTGCTGTACTTCTACCTGCTTTTAAACGGTAGCAGCCGCTGCTCTAACCTCTTGGCCATGACACAGTAGCGGTCCACTGGTGCTCCCAGAGTGATGTTGATGCTCCGGACCGTGTTGATGTTGCGGAAGACCAGCAGCATGGGTCGGGGCATGGACTTGAGCACCTGCATTATGTTTCCGAAGCGCTCCAGGGCCATTTGGCGCATGTAGGCCGTCTCCTCTCTGCTCAGGATGTTGGACAGACCCACCGTCCGCATGTTGATGGGGCGCTGCAGCAGCATCTCGCAGAACAGGAAGTACTCTGTAGAAACACAAACCTGCTCAGGATCCCACTGCTTGGTTTGGTAAGTATATTTAATATATATATTTTTCAAACAGGAACAAAAATCATGTGTCTTCACCTTTGACTCCCAGAGCATTGGAGAATTTCTTCATCGCTGGTTCATCTCTCAGGACAATGGCCCGCCACAGTTTACACAGAGCCTCTCTGTCACTGAGGTCAAAGGTCAGTTAGACCTACTGTCAATAAATATACAATAATGAAACAGACTGAGCCGGCCCTTACTGTTCACTCAGGTATTCATACAAGCCGTGGTCCAACAGCACCAGCTCCACTTTTTTATCTGGACCTTGCCTCACCAAAACTGCAAAACAAAATGTGAAGGAAAAAAAACATCACATTTATTCATTTATTTTCGCTTTATTTACATTTTAAAGAACCAAACGAAACCGTCCAATCAGACGTCAGAGGTGGTACAAGGTAGAGGCGACTGATTACGTATTTATCAGATGGACATCTACAGCTGATGAATGTTTGGAGTCGACCTGATTAAAAATTGCCGCCAAAGCCTGACATTCTTTAATATGTATTCAAATCTGTCCGGTGGTTCATGAGATATTTTGCTAACTCAGTGCCAACTCAGGCAGTTAGATGATCACAGCAGCAGGTTGTCCAAACTGATAAACAAAGAGTCAAAGGACGGATGATTGGTTGAAACATTCATTCAAGAATTAATTTCTTTTACTCCGTCTGTTTTCTACCAACCGTTTCCAGGATGAGGGTCTGCGTGGATGAAACCAGTGTAGAAAATCTGCTCCGCAAATGTTCGGATAAGTTTATCTGCAGTCTGAGGAGCAAACATGAGCGTTGGTATTTCAGACATTTAGAGAAAACAGTGTTTCTGTGGACTGAGCAGCTTACGTCTTTCACACTTAATCCTTGTCGCCTAATTTCTTCCACGTTGTTGATTTTGCAACCGTGGCAAAACTCTGCGGTCAGCACCCTCTGTGTTTGAGCAAAGAGATCAGGCTCAGGCAGAAGCTACGCAGCCATCAGGTGGAGTTGTTTTCTGCAGGAGATAAAAACCTCACCTTACTCGTCTGCTCCCAGAAGACTTTAGGTACGACCAAAAAATGAAAGTGCTTCAGCTCCTCGGCGCACCTCTCCGAGTTCCTGCCCTCGTTCTCAAAGTCCAGCTCTTGAGCCAGGGTTCCCTTCAAATCCTACAGAAGAAAAGCAAGAACAAAACAAGTCGGCTGAGGACTTAATACTGCCGACATCAGCCGAAGAAGATAAAACTGCAGTGTTAGAAACAATCAGAACAAAAGCTAAAATTAGCAAAGCAAAAGCAGCAAACTAAAATTAGCTATTAGCTAAATAAAAGATTAAATTATGTACAAGAAAAGCTAAAATTAGCAAAAATATCTAGAAGTTAATGAGTGAGACAGTAGCTAAATGCTAAAATTAGCAAAACAGAAGCTGCAAACTAAAACTAGCCAAGTAAAAAAAAAACAAAAGATGAAATTAGTTTAACAAAAGCTAAAATTAGCAAAAAAAATACATAAAAGCTAATAATGAGTAAGAAAGTAGCTAAATGCTAAAATTAGCATAACTTTTGCTAAAACTAGAATAATCAGCAATTCAGCTAAATGTTAAACCCATTTAAAATTTAAACTTAACCAAACAGTAGCTACAATTTTTTCCCCTAAAAATAAAATATCTGTAGCAAAATGCTAAAACCATCCCCACTAGCAAAATGTTGAAATTACAAAAAACAAAAGCTACAATCAAAAAACAAAACAATAGCTAAAATCTAACACGAGCAAAACAGTAGCTAAAAAGTAAGCGAACAATAACCAAACTGTTACACCAGCAAAATTATAGCTAAAATTTTAAGCAGCAAACATTAGCTAAAATTAGATAAACTGAAGGTAAAAGCTAAAATTATTAAAACAGTTGCTTAAGCCAAAACAGTAGCTGAAATGTTGAATACAGTAGGTAAATAATGAAACCAGTAAAACAGTGGCTAAAAGTGAAAATGAGCAAAACAGTCAGGAAAAGCTAAAATGATTGGACCAGTCTCTAAAGTGTCAGAATCGTAGTTGTGAGCTAAAATTAGCAAACCAGTTGCTAAAAGCTAAAAATGAAGCCAGTTTTTCAAAGATTTGAAAACTTCTCATTGCATTTCCATGATTACAACATTGGAAAGTTAAATAATTTAAAAAGTATGAAACGTAAAAAAGCTAAAGTTAACCTGAAAATAAAAGTCATTAACAGTCCACAGAACATACATCAGAAACTTTAAATAAGAACATATAATAAATTAAAAATAAAGCATAAATGATAAAGCTGACTGACCTTAAGAACCCATCGAAATCCAAAAGTAGGGTGCATGAATTTGATGATATCCAGAAGAACCTCCAATGTTCTGATGTCTCCATCAAACCGGTCCCTGAGATCAATGTATTGAACCTGGGGGGTCCAGAAAGGGTCAACAGGCTCAGGTTAGAACAACAAAAGGTCAAATAAAAACGACGACCACCTCCCAGCTGCTGCTCACCTTCACAGCTACAGGAGTCCCATCCAGCAGCTCCGCCCTGTGAACCTGAGCCAAGCTGGCCGCAGCGATGGGCTCGTAGTCAAACGTTTTGAAAAGCTGCTCCGGAGTTTTGTTGAAATCTTCTAGAAAGAGAGCATCCACCTGTTTGAGACAAACGCGTGAGACATTTCAGGCCGTCCTTCTGCTCCGACGCGGCGTGCTTTGTTTGTGCTGCAGCTCTCACCTCCCTGTACCTTCTGTCCAAGGCCTTGTCCTCCAGCACTTGCAGTGTTTGGATGTACTCGGGGGGCAGCAGGTGGTTGAAAGAACACAGACCCTGGCCCAGTTTGATGTATATTCCTCCGTTCCTGACGGCTCCTTCCACCATGCACTCTGCTGCCCTCTGGTGGCAGGCTGACATCTCCTTCAGGTAGGTTGGGCTGCTCTGGCAGGACAGGACGGGACAAGCTAGAAACACTGAAAACATACTGAAGGATGCCGATTCACCTATTGTCTGAACATATATCAGCTTTATTCTCCAAAACTAAAAGATAATCTGGGATTATTTTTTGTAATGATCTAAGAAAACTATGATGTAACAAATGTCTCATATGTATAGAAAACTAACCCTTAATTTACACTACATGCGTTCCAGCTCCGCTCCACTCCAGTCCGACCTCCGCAGCAAATACGTACCCATTATAATCAATGAGAGTGTTTACACTGGCTGCGCATGGCAGCGGTGAGCGGACGGCGATCCGGCAAAATTAGAACAGATCCTATTTTTGCCGGACGCCGAAGCTGCACCAACAGGAAAAGAAACGAGCACAACATCCGTATTTTCAAAATAAGACACTTTTATGCTGGATAATTTGTCAGAATAATGTCAAAATTGCAGCTATATTAATAAATATATGGATATATTTCTACACAAATGCTGTCAGAATGTATCGTTCTGTTTGGGAAGCAGATGTGTACACAACACGATACACGTGGATTTTATTTTGAAATCAGAAGTTTCAGAAAGACGACAGCGAGATAGTTTCAACCATAGATAAAAAAAAGCTTTTATATCAATGTTTTCAGCTGTGTTTGGAGTTCCTCTTTCTCAGAATTAATTATTTTTTGCTGTTATCACTGAATTTATCGCACTATCTCCCTCCTGCACACTCTGTCGGACCGGAGCGGACGCTGTATGAATTGAGACACAAACGAACAGCTGTGAACTGCACACTACAGCGCAGCGGAGCGGAGACACATGTAGTATAAATCTGGGGTAAGACCAAAAATAAGTTAATAAATGCACTCACTCTGGACTTTGAGGATATTTGAGGGTAAAAAATAAAAAATAAAATAAAATAAAATAAAATAAAGTTTTGTAGCAGAGAGACACATGAAAGACAAAAATGTCTACATTTTGACAAAATCCCTGTAACTAAAAACAACTTTTCTAATCCCTGTAATTTCCTTCCAAACTAATCATTTTTCCTTTGCCAGCTGCTGAGGAATCCCTTCATTCAGTATAATGTTTGACCTCATTGCCACTCTTTTACTCATTTCTCTTTTTAAGTACTGGGCTGGAAATCCTGATGACATCAGTCCAATAAAAATCGAGTTTTAAAACTTTTGTAAAAAAAATTGCCAAACTACAACAGTCTAAATTTGAGTTAAACTTTTCAGATGCAGAATTTGAAAATAATAAAGTCATTATTTAAAAAAAATCGTCGTTGTGACTCACTTTGCCAGCACAGATTACATTCATACATTAGCCCTCTTAATGAGCTCATGCTGTGGTCTTTGTCTCAAGATTTTATCCCTGTAGAGATACATGCCTACGTGTTGAAGTGAAAAAGCTGCTATGGTTGAGTCAAACATAGACAAAGATTAATTTAAAACCATTCACCTTTTAAATAAACTACAAGATTTGGTTAATCCAAGACTGAATTGAGTTAGCAGCTACCAGAACACACTCTGCTTACCTCATCCATCCCACGCAGAGTCACTCTGGTGGTCCACCAGTAATCCACTGAGATGAACACGCCCACAGACAGAGACCTGGAGACATGGAGCATACCAATAAACTGGACTTTACTGTAAATCTGTGACTGAAAAAAGATACCAACACTTTATAGAATCATCAGTTTTGTTGAAGTTTTAGATTAAACCAGATTCTGACTCCTCACTGTGACCAAGATGAAGAAAAACTGTTAAAAGTTGAGTTTCAGAGAAAACCTACAAATTGTTTCTACAAAGCAGTTTAACACAAAGTTACAACCATACATTCCACTGTTTGTAAACCGTCATCTGTTGTTGATCCTTTCAGGTGGTATTCAGCTCATTTTATGACCTGATCTTAAAGGCACAGTGTGTAGGATTTTGTCAATTCTTTTAGCCGAAATTGAGATAATCACTAATGACAATAATAAAAAAAACATGTCTAATCATTGCAGACAAAGACCTTGTTTTATTATTTTTACCTTATAAAAAGCTGTTTACACTCACCGGCCACTTTATTAGATACACCTGTCCAACTGCTCGTTAACACTTAATTTCTAATCAGCCAATCACATGGCGGCAACTCAGTGCATTTAGGCATGTAGACATGGTCAAGACAATCTCCTGCAGTTCAAACCGAGCATCAGTATGGGGAAGAAAGGTGATTTGAGTGCCTTTGAACGTGGCATGGTTGTTGGTGCCAGAAGGGCTGGTCTGAGTATTTCAGAAACTGCTGATCTACTGGGATTTTCACGCACAACCATCTCTAGGGTTTACAGAGAATGGTCCGAAAAAGAAAAAACATCCAGTGAGCGGCAGTCCTGTGGGCGGAAATGCCTTGTTGATGCCAGAGGTCAGAGGAGAATGGGCAGACTGGTTCGAGCTGATAGAAAGGCAACAGTGACTCAAATAACCACCCGTTACAACCAAGGTAGGCAGAAGAGCATCTCTGAACGCACAGTACGTCGAACTTTGAGGCAGATGGGCTTCAGCAGCAGAAGACCACACCGGGTGCCACTCCTTTCAGCTAAGAACAGGAAACTGAGGCTACAATTTGCACAAGCTCATCGAAATTGGACAAGAGAAGATTGGAAAAACGTTGCCTGGTCTGATGAGTCTCGATTTCTGCTGCGACATTCGGATGGTAGGGTCAGAATTTGGCATCAACAACATGAAAGCATGGATCCATCCTGCCTTGTATCAACGGTTCAGGCTGGTGGTGGTGGTGTCATGGTGTGGGGAATCTTTTCTTGGCACTCTTTGGGCCCCTTGGTACCAATTGAGCATCGTTGCAACGCCACAGCCTACCTGAGTATTGTTGCTGACCATGTCCATCCCTTTATGACCACAAAACCGTTACTAGCGTGGTGTACCTAATAAAGTGGCCGGTGAGTGTATATCTCCATGGTCATGGGTCGCCACTACAGGCAGCCGCCATCTTGCACCGCCATCTTGTCTATGAAGGCTCATGAAGGACAAACTGCGGTGGCGGCGTCAAAAACAGTTTTAGTTGTAATACTATAAATGTAATATTTGTTGTCTGTCATTGTAGCTGGGATAATTTTACTTATTAAAGCTCATAATCTTACCACTTGAAACATCACTAGCCCTGAAGCTGCTGGTAGACATCGCGGTTGGAATTATCAAAGGTTTTTGACACCTGAGAGACACCGTAGCAACTCCTTTGCGTTCGGAAGCAGGGGGTGGGGTTGGGGGGAGGACCAGGGAGGATTATTCAACCACTAGATGTCGCTGAAAACAACAAATCCTACACACTGTGCCTTTAAGCTGATGTTGCAGATTTATTTCTTTACAACAGACCAATTGCAGCTGTAACGCTAGTTGGGAAAACAGCCCAAACATTGTTTTGAAGTAGAGCGAAGCTTTCACTAATTGTCACACTTCTGTGTACTTTTACTGTTCACTTGACAAGTAAGTCCAGCTATGCATCAACAAAACCAAACCAAACATATAACCAGCTGCAGACTGTGATTTCCCATCTCTTACTTGAGATTGGATAAAGATTGCGTAACGTATCACATCAACAGGCAATTTAACCTTTGAACAGCATAGCTGGTTAAACACTACTTTGATTTGTTCTCAGTGCTTATTTCATCACTGTTGTCCAACTTTAAGACAATAGGGTTGGGGGATATTGGCAAAAAAATGTATCACGATTAATTGTGGCATTAATATGTATATTATGATATAATATAAAATATAATATAACGATTATTGGATGACAACTGCACATGCATTATAGTCAGAGCCGTGGACTTCCTCCTCTTTTCTGGGTTTTTCTTGTACTCTGGTTTATGGTTCAAGTTGTTTAAACAAGTTCATAGGGTTAGCAACTAACTGGCAACTATCTAGCTAGCAAACTGAACAGCTATTTTGCTAGTGAACTGGCTATGCCAAATGGCAACTACTGAATGTGGCTAACTAACAGGTCAACTATCTAGTAGAGATGGGACATCTGAAGCAAGGCTTCAAGGCACGTATCAAGTAAAAAGGGGGCGTGTCAGATGAAGCCCCGCTTCAATGCTTGTGCCGTCTTGCTGAAAATCATGTGACCAACGACAAACAATGCCTTGCATCACATGGGCCACGTCACGGCTTCGTTTTGCGTGTCGTTTTTCAAAATAAAAGCGCAATGAACCCTGTTGCTTCGTGGGTTGTAGTAGGTGGTTTGGTGGTGCGTCAGAAACAGTGAAAAAGGTCCTATTCTGAAATAAAAACAATTAAACCACAAAATAACCACAACCCAGAAACGTCAACATTTTCTTTTGTTTTATCAGGACAGACATCAGTCTCACTAGGGCTGTGTATTGGAAAGAATTTGGTGATTCGATACATATCATGACAGAGGGGTCACGATACGATATATCCCAATATATTGCGATACTGTAAGCAAGGAGATTTATTGCGATTTTTTTTGTCCAAAAATTCTATTAAAATAAAACCTCTTACTGGGGAAAAAAATGAAAAACCAAAATTCATTGTCTCAGAAAATTCTAATATTACAGAGACATACT